TCTCTACAAAGGATTGGAAAAAATATACCCTCTAGTGAGGACTAACAATAAACAGATAGATAAACAACGGTAAGGCCTGAAATTCTACAGCAGGAGGACATCACTGTTTCCTCTGTGGCTGCAGATATCAGATAACTCCACTACCTGTTCTCAAGTTCTCGAAAAAGATGGCTAGAATAACGCCGGTGCCTCTTTCCCCAGTTACCACTGGGCTTTCTGAACATAACTGGCCATTTAAAAGGACATAATTAGCCCTGGACGGTTTGGTTCAGTGGCTAGAGTAGCCTGTGGACTGCAGGGTTCCAGGTTTGATTCCGGCCAAGGGCACGAACCTCGGGTGCAGGCTCGTCCCTGGCCCTGCTCGGGGCACGTGCAGGAGGCAGCCAGTCCCTGTGTCTCTCACGTCGATGTCTCTCTCCCCCTCCCACTCTCTCTGAAAATCAATGCAAAAATATCTTCGGGTGAGGATTAAAAAATAGTAATAAAAAATGGAAGGACACGGCCAGGAGCCGCTGCTCTGGTGACCTCAGAACTCCGTACAAACACGTGTTACAGTGATGCTCTGGCAGACGGCTGGAGCCTGTGGGTGACCCGAACTGTCAGAGGAAAACTCCTTCACCAGATGACACACATCTACCTGTGCGTGTCTTTTCTGCTGTGTCCAGCTCTTTCTCTCACTCTTCCTATCAACAGTCTGAGAACAGAAACAGCTACTTGTATTAAATGTTTCTTTCTCTAAAAAAACACCCGTTAAAGCACTGCCTCACGAAACTGGAGGAGAGAAGAGCTAGCTCCTCTAACCCACGGCTCCCCCACGAGCATGCCCTGGGCTCTGCCCTGACACCGAGCACCAGGCAGCACTGGGCGACTCATGACTCTGAGAACTGCACTTGGTTGCTTTTTTGTCAGTCAGATGTATCTGCTCTAACGGCCTATAAAAGTGTCGACTCCAGTGACCTCCCTGAGGAACACTGTTTTTCAGAATTAGGAACAAGTCAGGCACACCTAAAATACCTTTTATTGTTGTTAATACTCCTATTTTTAAACAAGTCGCCTGCCCTCAACTTAACAGTCACAGGGGACGGAGGCGGACACCACACTCTATGCAGGGACCAAAAGAATGTCGCAAAGCTAATTCCAAGGTTAAGAAAAAATGTACAGAAAAATACTTTTAAATCACACGGAAACATTTTTATATATGCAAATAATGATACACTAGAAAAAATCCTGAAAATAATGAACTAGGCCAAATAACGGGGTCTGTAATTAGTGACTCCAGGGCTAAGATCTGACCTCAGTCCAAGACACTGAAATCACCCTATAACCCATCTCTCCTCAATCAGCAACACTGGACCTCAATGCACATGATTAGCAAAGCTGAACGCATGGGCAGCTACGTACTCGGATCTGGTTTTTCAGCTGCTCGGCCTCCTGCCGCAGCTGGTCAAGCTCACTCATCTTCTGACCGGAGTGCTCTGCAACGCCACCTCAGAGAAGCAGATCTGAAATGAAACAGCACAGAGAGTCAGTCAACAGCCCAGCAGGTGGCTCAGCTGGAGTGTCACCCTTTACACCCAAAGGCTGCGGGTTCGATGCCCAGTTAGAACACGTGTGGGCGGCAACAGATCAATGTGTCTCTCTCACTCAGACGGTTCTCTCTCTCTCCTTCATCTCTCTCTAAAATCAGTAAAAAAATATCTTCCTCAGGTAAGGATTAAAAAAAACCTGATTTTAAAAAAGTTAATAAACAATGGCTGAGTAATTAATGAAGCAGGCGAGAAAAGGAAACTGAAATTTTGAGACCTATGGTTTCATTATAAATCAGAACTTATAAAATGCCCACAAAGGCCTGGGTTAGTAAAATACAGTTTATATCATTCACTAGCATTGTACAATGACAATGTCTAAGAAATTACTACTCAAAAGATGGTGGTCAGTTAAAAAAGGAAAAATCTGTCATGTAGCATTTTTCAAGGACCTGGGTGTCACCAGAGAACCCAAGGAGCTGAAACGGACATCAGAACAGCTCACATGAAAACCCAGGTCAGGAAGCAGGTACAGTGGTGGTCTGACGACCCAGTACCTTGAAGCCACATCAGTGACCTTGAATCCATGGCCACCAGATGTCAGCATGCTCACATGGCAATTCTTAAGGATAATATGGTGCCCAACAGGCCTCCGGTTCAGGGGCCACGTGCTCTCCCACCAACATGGACCTGGGATCCCAGCAGGCAGAACCAACATGGCGGGCCTACAGCTCAGGCCCATCAGGCCCACCCCCCGCAGCCCTGGTGCAAAGGCCTGGCGGGACGGGCCCAGGAGCAGGGCAACAAAGGGCAGGGCTCGCAGCACAGTTCTCTGGGATGGCACCCACGCTGATACAGTCTTAGAAATGTTTCTGATCAAAACAGCTGCTTCAAAAGGCTATGCTGCGGGGGGTGGGGAGCTTGGCTGATGCAGACTACCTGTGGCCTGGCCCTGAGCAGAGCCATCTGCTGTGGGAGCCGCGCCACAGACGTGCCCATTGATATGCTGGTGAACTCCCTCCCATTTGCACCAATACACTCTAAGGAGCAACTTGTGAACTTCAATGTATGAAATAATAACCACGCCAAGAGAATAGGAAGTGATTTCAAAACAAAAGGCCACAAGGTCCTTGGGCTCAGGGACACCTGCACCCCCTCCAGCCCGGAACCTCCCAGCACTCAGGTGCTGGCGAACGGGACCAGGTTCTTGCAGACAGCCCTGCACAGCGGGCACTTTCATTCCAGCCCCCCATCCCAAGTCAGATAGCTGTCCTCAGTCTTATAAGGAAGCTCCGCACCCAACCCTTCCAGTCGACCTGGAGGAAAGTAACGCTCAGGTTGCTACGAGGCACACGGACTTCCACGGGTGGTTGTGGTCAACAAACAACTTCTGATCCTAAGTTAAACACTAAAAGGCTAAGGTAATTTTTAAGTTGAGGACTAAAAACAACAAACTCCTTAGGATCTAAGGAAAAGGAAGTACTTCCCGAGATGCTGGGGTCTTCAGGTAACATTAGGTGGGATAACTCCCAAGATCTTAATGAAGTGTCTCCCTTAATTAGACATGCCTGTCCGCACCCACTGACAATGGCATACAGGATAACCCCGCCTGCGGACAGTAAAGGCAGAGGAATGAATTTACTGAAAGCCGAGTATCTCTATGTTGAGAAGCTCCCTTTAACTCAGTCACTTCACTCAATTTCAGCAGCAGCGATGCTGGACCTGCTGACCTAAATCTTCAGCCCTAAGCAGAGGACAAACCAGGCCTGTGTCTGTCTCTCCCATCGGTGAATAGCACCGATGACTGGCACTGCCTCTGGATCGCAACCCTTTCTGCAACCAGTGCTCACACTGCACCAGGTGAGCTCCCACAGATCCCTGAGAACAACATGCAGACAGACACCCAGAGAAATGCTCATCACTCATTAAATGGAAAACAATTTGCAATAACTGTAGCTATTTTAAAAGAACAAACTATACTTTGTTTTAAAATTTTTAAAAGATTAATATCATTTTCATGAGAATCAGTGGTCATGTCTTTCTCTTGGTTTCCAACATCGGCAGGCAGGGCAGCTTATGCAGAACCATTAGGCACGTTCAGAAGTCTTACTTACATTGGCTCGCTTTTGCTTTTCTCTTCACTATCCTCAGTCCCCCAAAGCCTTCTGGAAACCCTACCATCAGGTCCCCAAGGCCTGGGCGCCTTCTCCCCTCCTGGTCAAAGTCACTGTTAAGCTCCGGTGAGCTGATTCAGCGCACTGACGGTCTAATCCACTAAGACAGACCTGCTGAGAGGCCCCCTCTTCTCCTCACGACCCACATCTGCCACCGGCTCTGGTTCAGAACTTCTGTTTTGGAAATATTCTGTGTAGATTTTAAGTAACAGAAAGCAAGCCGAAGCGGTCTGCCCCTACACTAGATTACATGCAACATTTCTGTAGGTCACTGTTAGCATCACTTTTATTCAAGTACTCCCCATGAGCAGCAATGTGCTCGGGCGGCTCCCCATCATCACCTTGTGATGATGTAGCACAATCTGTCTCATCAAGACTCTGCAGATCCAGGAAGCACATGTCAGTGGCGACCCCAGCTCAGCACCCCGTAGGTATTGTACACTCACTACCAGTGACACTCAGGCTGCAACTTTGTTAGCGTATCAAAAACCAATGCCCACTCCTGGTTCTGCCACACATGAGGAATGCGACTAGCACCAATCGCTTTGCTCTGGTGTTGGTTGCGACATCAGAAGGTGTTCTCTCCATCACAGGCGGAGAGGAAAATTAAACAAGGCAACTGGAAAGTGCATCATCAGTCCTGCTGCAATCAGACGGTAAAGGGCACCTCTCTACTGGGCAGTGCGCACACATGGTGTTCACAGGAGGGCAGACTGGGGATACCTGGCTGCCGTGGCTCTGCTACTACACTGAATCTGAAACTTCTAAAGCCAGAGCCAGCCCACGGAGCCTCCCATCACATGGGCAGGAGTCTCTGACTTGCTCGGCCACACAAGGACGGCACCTCACCTCCAAGATAAAGCTGCATTTTGATACAGGAGCTGGCAGGAGGAACTGAAATCAATTTCACCCGCTTTTCTGTTTTTCTTTCATTTCCAGATCCAAGTTAATCTCCAAAATTAAGAGTGAAAATCCAAAGGGCAGTAGGCAGCCCAGTCCCACTCCTATTACACAGGGTTCTAGCAATACCGTGAGCGACACGGGGCAGAGGACAGAGACATCGCCATCTGTTCAGGTGTTCCTGCCTGAAGGGTGTTCCTGCCTGAAGGGTGCAGGAAAACATGCAGTGCAGACGGACACTCGGTCCAGCATGAATGACCCACAGCCTCTCCTGGCCTTCAAAGGTCCATGATGACATGTTTAATAAAATGACAGGTCAGAATTCACTTGAAAACAACCAAGAAGAGGGTAACGGGCAAGGGCATATGCAAAAGAAGACTGGTAGCCCTGGCTGAGTAGCTCAGTTGGTTGAAGCATCACACCAATACACCAAGGTTACGGGTTCAATCCCCAGTCAGGGCACATACAACAATCAACCAATGATGCATCAATAAGTGGAACAGATGCATGTCTCTCTTTCTCTCAAATCAATAAAAGTAAAGAGATTAAAGAGGTTAATTTTTAAAACAGACTGGTGGTGAAGGGTAACTGCTTTAGTCTGGTGGTGGAGCACCTGACACTTGTTAACTTTTGTATTAAAATAGTTGTGAAGCGTATACAACTTTCCATTAAAATGGTTGTGAAGCATACATGATTTAGGATCTTGACTCAAAACCCAGACGTACAGACTTTATAGAGAAAAGCAGGGAGATCTGCACGTGGTCTGGGTTCTGGCAGCATGGAGGAGGTGCTGCTCTTCTGTCTGGAGACACCCGAGACTAAGGCCTTCCTGTGGGATGTGCTCGACACTCCAAGACAGGAGGAAGAAAGGAGGAAGGAAACTAAAACTGGCAGAACTCTGTAAATGCTGGAGCTGGGTGATTACATAATATTGCTTTTACCTATATTTGACCATTCTCAATACATTTTTTTTAAAAAAAATCACTATTTCTTGGCATTGCTTGGCTACATTATAAGCACATATTAAATCTCCTGGTTTTGAAAGTGTGGGTGCACAGGCACACCATGAGCAGGCCATGTCACACGGTGACATTTACCTGTGATGACATCACCCTGCCGAGTTAGCCAGCTGTTCGAAGATACAACTACGGTACCTCCCAAGTTTGTCTGAACAGATGAAAGGCTAACCTTGGAGGCTTAATGTCCATGTTGCAGAAGTGGTAAGGACTGGCATTAGGTGTGGATGGCACTGGGCCACTGCGTCAGCCTCTAGCAGATCAGAAGTAGTAGAGACCAGAACAGTCCATGAGCTAAAGTAAACCGTAACTAGCCCTCATAGCAAACAGCCTTCTTTTCTACAGGCCTAGGCGCTCGCTCTGCTCAAGAGCCTGCTCAGTCACTGCTTCTTTACTGGATGGTTTGTTTCCTGACAGTGAATTCTGAGTGCTTTGCTCACTCTGGATACAAGTCACCTCGAAGACAGGTGACCCGCTCAGTCTCCCTACTAGGCTGTGGCTTTTCATTCTTGTCACAGGCCATGAGGAGCAGTGTTTGGCGTTGGTGACGTTCTATCCACAAACAGCCTCGTATGGACGGACTGTGTCTCTGACGTCGTGACAGAGTGATGTTTGCCTGCTGAAGCCTTGATAGTTCCCATGGTTTCTTTTACACATTCTCTTGTATAAGGTTTACATTCAGGTCTCTGATGCACTTTGAGTTCATTTTTGTGCATCAAATTCAGCTTCTGCATATAGTACCCAATTGTCCAAGCACCTAATTCATTCAATTTAGTTTTGCTTTTTAACTTAAAATTATTTCAATTTACAAAGAGTGAAATAATAACCCCTCACCAGACTCACCACCCCCACCACTGACCCGTTCGCTTTCGCTCCCCCTTCTAGAAACGTGGGATGTTTTCTGAATTGTGGGGCCTTACCTCTCTCTCTGTCACCTGCTGGTAGTCCAGCTAAGATATGACCTGGGAAAGGGCCCTCTTGCTTCCTCATGAGAGAAGCTGGAGAAATACCGCTCTCATCTAGAGTGTGAGCCACAAGCTCTGGGACCCTAACCCTCCCTGCTGAGCACTGGATGGAACCTGGATGGAGCCTTTGAAGAAAACACCCTCCTCAGGATCAACTGGTCTGAAAACCAACTCTGGGCTTAAAAAGAGAGATGGGCAGAACCAGGTTATTTAAAAAAAAAAAAAAAAAAGGGAAAAAAAAACAACCTGAAGAATTTGAAATATTGTACTTTAAAAAGTGATACAAATTAATCTTTTCAAAATTACCTTAATTCAGAAGTACTTTTGGTCTGGTCTCCGATTCATGTACAATTGTCTGCAACAGACAGAGAGAGGCTGTGTTAGCCCAGCACTGCACTCAGGGAGAGGAGCAAGTGTCCGTGTAGACCACCCCCTTCTCGCCCAAATCACTCTCCTTCGTACTTAGTATTAATTCAATATTTAGTTCTTCAGTGTGGGGGAAAAAGAAATCTAATCTCAATTTATCTTTTTTAAATCCTTAGAAATGCCACAGGGAAAATACCGAGCTAGACTGAAAACCGCGGGTGGGGAAAGGTGTCGAGAATCCTGCAACTAGAAAAATCAGTTAACAACAGAGAAGCATCACTGCAATTCAAGAAGCTCCCGAGTCATCTCACCCAGACTCCTGTCCACAGGCAGAGGATCGCATCTGAACCCACTGGCCAAATGCTGCCTAAGGCAGGAAATCCACTTGGAAACACTTCCAGTGCCCCCTGCTGCTGAAGAGCCCCCCAGCCCGGCCTGGGTCTAGGACGGAGTCTAGGGGACCAGCAGACACCCCATAGCCAGGATGGAAGAATGTGAATCCTAGATCCCTGCTGGAAACCTGCTTGTTCCCTCCGAGAAACCACATCTCCACACATTTGAACATGTTCCATAACCTCTTCAAATTACACTGCGGGAAAAGACCACTTCTGGGTGTTTCAGGCTACCCCACACCTGTGGATTAACTCTATGTTTTGTAAGTCTACAAACCCACGTGCACACATCTGGTCAGGGGCCAGGAGAGGTATCAGACACTGCAATGTCCCCCGGTGAACTGTGAACTCTGTCTTTATTTAACAAAATAGTTTTATTTTCGAATTATGCTGCTTGCATTACTGGGTTTTTTTTGGCAGTGAATGTGTGTGTGGGAGGAAAACAGGTAGGTGGTTCCTCAAGATGTTAAAGCAGAATTCCATGACCCCACCATCCCACTCCTAGGCACATGCCCAAAAGGGACTGAGAACAGGTACCTGATGCTTGTGGAACCCCCAAGATGGAATAGCATGCAGTCACAAAGCGGAGTCAAGCACGGACACGCCCCCACATGGGTGATCCCTGAAAACATGATGGTACATGGAAAAGCCGGTCACGTGTTATATGGCTGCACCTACATGAAATACCCAGGACGGGCAACTCTACAGACAGGTGCAGTGGTTGTCAGGGGCTCTGTGCACATGTGAGATGAAGAATAGCTCAGTGGGTACGGGGAGCCTCCTGGGGTGATGGAAACACTCTGGAACTAGGTGGAGATGGTGGCTGCACAGCACTGTGGATGTGCCACTGAACTGTCCAGTTTAAAATGGTTAGTGCTGTTATGTACATTTTATGTCAAAAGAGGGAGAAACAGGAAAGTGCCAATAAAGACGGTTAAAAAAAACAAACCAACCAGCAGTGTGAAAGCAGAGGCTGGAGGCCCCAGAAATTTTAAGGGCTCACCCCCTGAGCACTCTGAGGGAGCCCTCTGCAGTGCACATCCAAGTCTTCATTGAGTGGTCTCACCCTCAGCTCCGCAGTCAGCCAGCCTGAACTGTCCTGTGGTGGGGCTGCCCTGTCCTTGTGGGATCCTCAGTAGCATCTGCTTCCCCCTCTGTGCCAACCAAAAATGTCTCTAGACACCACTGGATGTCCCTGGGGGCCTGTCTAGGTGAGAGATACTCATTTTAGGTGTCTGTCACAACGATCCCAACCTCTAAATACAAATCCTTCAGATTTTCCACATGAGAAGGCGGGTAGAAGAAAGAAAAATAGTAAGAAAAATGCATCCTAGTTTGCTAATTCAAATGCTGAAATTGCCTTGTGGCTCCAGACAGGAAACAAAATTAGTGCCCTGGTCTTTGGAGGGAGCAGTGAGCTGATGCCCCGGCCTGGAGCAGGTCCTACCCTCCTGCTCCTACCATAGGTCATGGGGTGGGGGGAGCCCAAACCACCTCAGCCTCTCAGCCAGGACGCACAGGAACTTGGCTCAATCCTGAATCTGAAAAAAGGGCATGAAGACACTTTGGGGAAAATGGAAGAAATATCATAGTGTGGATTAGGCATTGTTGGTGTCACAGCTCTGGATGCAGAGGTACAACTGTGGAAATGTCACAGAGTATCCATGTTCTGGAAACATCAATGAAACAGTTCCCCAGACAGCAGAGGGAGACACAGGAACCGTGGCCCTGAAAGGCGGCAAGTGATGAAATCTGGTGAAGGTACTGTTCACTGACCCACTGTTTCAAGTTTCTATAGCTTCAAATTATTCAAAATTAAAAGTTGGGAGGAAGGAAATAATAACATCAATAAAGGGCAAAATAAATTTTTTAAAACATACCTCTGAAGCTATTGAACAAAAGGTGGGATGACATGAAGTTAGGGTCAGAGGTTTGAAACCCGTGTCTGTAGCTGTCTTGACTTCCCACTGACCACACAGTCAGGAGAGGCCTCTTCAGCCAGTACACATGGCACAGTAACATGCCCACGGCTAACACCACCTCAACGTATTTTTAAAAAAAAAATACATCTTTGCCCAGCCGGGCGTGGCTCAGCGGTTGAGCGTCGACCTAGGATCCAGGAGATCGCAGTTCGATTCCCAGTCAGGGCACATGCCTGGGTTGCAGGTTCAATCCCCAGTCAGGGGAGTGCAGGAGGCANTGTCTCTTATACACATCTAGATGTGTATAAGAGACAGGGGGAGTGCAGGAGGCAGCCGATCAATGACTCTCTCATCATTGATGTTTCTCTCTCTCTCTCTCTCCCTCTCCTTTCCTCTCTCTGAAATCAATAAAGATATATTAAAAAACAAAAAACGTCTTTATTTATTTCAGAGAGAGGAAGGGAGAGAGAAAAACATCAATGGGAGTCACTGATCGGCTGCCTCCTGCACGCCCCCTACTGGGGATCAAGCCTGCAACCGGGGCACGTGCCCTGACGGGGAATCGAACTGAAATCTACTGGATCCTAGGTCGATGCTCAATCGCAGAGCCACGCCGGCCGGGCGCCTCAATGCATTTTGGTTTTAAGAGCAACCCTTTAAAATAAATGAGTTGCTATTCATTTTTAATCTCCACATTTACGTGGTTCGCCTCCCTGTAACAGTGCTCACTGTACGAGTGTTCTCCTTAGGTTCAGGTGTTGGCCTGATCGTCTCAAAGGACCCACTTCCATTGCTGGGAGTCTCTCTGCTGTGACTGTCTTCAACCTCAGGAGCCTGCTCCTTATTTCCTTCCTCAGCCTGCTCTGAATTCAGTGGGCTCCTCCCCCAGGCCCTAAAGGCAGAAACTTAGAGTGGCGAGACCGACCTTTGGTCTTCTGTAGTGAGTGTTTCATGCTATGAACTTCCCTGTAAGTACTGCTATGTCCCACAAACGTTATGTTTTATTTGTTTTCTCTTTCATTCAAACTAAAATATTTTCAAATTTCCCTTCTGATGTCATCTTTGACTTGTTTAATTTCTAAATACATGGGGATTTCCTGGCTAGCATACTGTTAAGATTTAGAACTGAAGCCCACGGCAATCACGGTCACTGCACCGCCATCAAGCAGCTCTGGCATCTGGACACCTCCCCGGCTGCTCCGTCCATTTCTGTGCCTCTTAACAGTGGAGCACTTTCTGTATCTCTCACAATTTTCTGTGGAGTCCAGAGCAGAGTGACAGCACCTGTGCCCAGACACTGGTGCGGAGGGCTCAGTCCATCTGGTCTTTAGCTGAGTGGTGTCTGGCTCCACATTCTCCAAAGAGAAGCTGCCTTAACTTTTACGAGGCCAGAATATTTTTCTTAAAATTGCTGGCCTAAGAAGAAATGGACTTCAGGCAAAAAAGCAAACCATTGCGCTTCTGCTCAAAACTCACATTCATGTGAGGATGAAAACAGCTCCACTTTACTCTGGCAGAAGGTGTCTGTCCGACGGGCGTAGACAGACATGTAAAGGATTCTGCACTCGTGAGAGTTCTGTGCTGTGCCCTGCACACAGGTCTCTGTGCCCTCTCTGCGGGCGAGGACAGTTGCTCCACAGCTTCAGAAAGTCCCTGGGAAGCCAGTTGTCAGGCATGGCCCTGGGGGTAACAGAGGACACTGTCTGCAGGAGTCCAGCTTCCCGAGAGAGGCACTGAGAGCGTGGTGTCCACACTGCCTCTCTCCAGGCAGGACGAGCCCAGGTCCACAGGCATGTGCGCCGGTCACACGAGGGACACATTCCAACAAAAATCAGTCTGGCTAACCCTCACTGCTGACTAATAATTTCAAAACGTGTTCAGTTGTTTTTTTAAGATTCTGTACTTGGCTGTGTTTGTTAAATATTTTTAAAGACTTCACTGTGGTTTACATATAGATGCAGGGAATCTTTTAGAGAAAAGCAATCTTAGAAATTTTTTCTATTTTGCAGAAAAATGCCATTACACAATGTGCCCCAAAAGGGCCTCTCCAACGTTCTCCCAGTGCAGGTTTTGCCCAGGTGAGCAGCTCAAATCCTGCCATGAAAAGTAGCTCTGGCCCTGCTGGAGCAGCCCTGCTGGCTGGGCGCTGTTCTGGGCACCGGCAGGTCGCTGGTTCGATTCCTGGTCAGGGCACATGCCCAGGCTGTGGGCTTGATCCCTGGTGAGGAGTATCAGGTAGATGTTTCTCTCTCTCTCCCTCCCTCCTTCTCCCTTCCTCTCTCTAGAAATCAATAAAAATAAAATAAAAAAGTAACTTTGCCATCAAGCACAAATGTGATGACTGAGCACCCGATGTGTTTCTGGGAGAACTAAGGAAACTCAGCCAGGGAAATGCATCGACAGGGAAACATATGAGGACAGCAAGGGGTGAGCATGTCACATTCAACACAGCTCCTCCTTACAGCGTCCACAATTCCCTCTAGAACCACCTCAGCTTCCTGACTGGGAACATGCACCAAGGGCCCCGCATAACCCACAGAGAGGCTGGCAAGTAAGACCCCAGAGGTCCCCAGGTGGAAGAAACTGGTGCTATACAAGGACCAAGAATGGCAGGAGACTTCCCAACACAGCACCAGGCTGAACAAATTCCAAAATGGAATTCCATACTCAAGACTGTCAAGTCTAAGGTCAGAAAGAAGGCATAAAGTACGGGAAGCTACCAGAGGATATTTTCCCCCAAAAGGGGGCAAATGAGGAAGACACCACATCCAGGACTCAGGAGACATGGCTTCCTCCTCTGACCTTTCCCAGTCCTTACGTGGGGCTCCTCATTCCGACTCCAAGCTGGTGGCTGTGCTCTGATGCAGCACCAACGATCCAACAGAAATCATACCAGGAAGGTCAGCCTCAGCCCTCGGCTGTGTTCAGGCAAGCTCTAAGCCAGTGC